TCATCTCCCCAGTCAAGGTTCATTAATCAGGTGATCACCTCTCCATTATACCTTGCCGGAATTGCCACTGTAAACCTGTATTCACTGTGGATGAAACCAAACAAAATTGTGCATGTTCCAGTGTGTTTCCATGGTAAATGGATCACATTGAACATGTTGTGATGCATTTCCGTGGGAAATGGGATGCAAAGTCGCATGTTTTTGTCAGTAAGGCAAAATCTATTGGTTTAAATTTGTAATTGATAGATCCTGCTTTTTAGCATGTCCAATCAAAGACAATTTAACCAAATTCACATTCAGCTTTTTCTTTTTAGAATTCTTTAATAAGATTGGATGTCAATAGCTTATTTAACAATGCAAAATTATAACACGGTGAACAAATATTTATTGTTAAGATGCTGTTGGGGCATTTCGAAGTAGAAAGATCTTTTCATAACATCACATTGTCTGCTAGATAGATTTTACAAAGGCAGACAGTTATCATGAAATCGTGTTGTCATTACACTCTGAAACTAATAACTCTTTAATAATTTTCTTAGATGCAGCAGCTGTCCGAGCAGCACCAACTGTTGCAGCAAGCACAGAAACTACTGCTTCATCAACTTCTAAATCACCATTACCTTCAACACAGGTTAGTATTGGTCTCCATGGCAACCTGCCTATAATGACCACTCAGGCAGTCCCAAGGCATAACATATGAGCAATCTGTGTATAAAAGACAACCAATCAACAATCCAACCTTCACATACCACCTGTTTATAAAGACAATTTTAATGAAGGTGGCCACTATACACAGGTTTTAAGGATACTGTATTTTCACTGCCTGGCAACCACAGCCGATGAAAACTTTAGTCGAAAACTGTACTTTAGGCTAGTTGTTACCCCCACATGTACAATCTAAATAAATTTGCTTGTTCAGGATTGTCTCATAGTTGAGTTTGTGCTGTTTTCTCAACTTAAGCTGACCGGTATTCCACAGCAGTTAGCGCATAGCCCATAGAAATACATGGTACAGTGGCACACATCTTAGCAACATTCTGTGACGTAGCTCTATCTCTGAGAATACAAGTAGTAAATTAAAAGTAAGTATCTAATCATGCACCAAATGACTTTTTTATTGGCACTGATCTTGCTTCATCCACTCATGAACCATATCATCTGATTTTTTCAGAGTAAAAGAAAACTCTCGCAAGATGAAGTGAAGCCATCCATGAGTAAAAAGAGATCTATCACACCACCCAAAGAAAGAAAACCTGAAGTAAAAGCACCTCCTTTGAAGAAAACTAAATGTAAGTTATTTACAAACTTTCTCTCTTTGGGTAGTTAGCCATGATAACAGTGCTAGAATTCAGGCAAGATTAGAATCTTTGTTATATTTAGGAATTAAAATAGATTATTACTGTAGAATACTTTATTTTCACTTGGAATTTATTTTCGCTGAAGGGATGATTCTGTGAAAATAAAATCCAGCGAATATACTTTTTTTCCTATATTTCACATTAAACTCATCAAAAAACGGTGAAAATAAATTCCATACAAAACGCCCAAAAAGCTTTTTCAGCGAAAATTAATTCCAGCGAAAATAAAGTATTCCAGAGCATTTCATTTTCTTCTCTGCTTTTACCATGATCTGCTATTTTTTGTACATACCTTCAGCTGACTGTTCACACTCAGTAGTATTAATTTCAAGTCAGTCTGCTTTTTTAGATTGCATACTTGAGATGGTTCTAGCATTTCCAACCAAAGTAATATCAAACAAAACAGTTTTGTATTTGTGCAAGATTTGAGTGTTAAATCTTGCTCTATATATAGAACTGTGAACCTAATTGCTGATTTCAGGAAAAAGTCGGCATCTAAGGACAATGTTGCATTGTTTGTTTATTTGTAGCGGAGCCTACTAAAGCATCAACTGGGAAAGAGTTTTCCCAATTAATGAAAGGTGTAGTGTTTGCACTGAGCGGTTTCCAGAATCCAAAACGAGGAAATATACGAGATAAAGCACTAGACATGGGAGCCAAATACAAATCAGACTGGTGTAATGAGTGTACACATCTCATGTAAGTAAACATATACACTGTAGGTCTGCATTGCTAGAATAACAGTGTGTGGCATATGTGGCTTTCAGATGTTACTTTAAAGTTGCATTTTTAGATCGTAAAATCCTTAAACCGACTATATGGGTTCGTGTAAGCGATATATGTA